ATAACGAATTTCTTAATAAAAGATGATGAAACAGATCCTATAAAAGCCGAATGCTATTTTGTTCGTTTTTTAATTGAACATAATCTACCGCTTTCTGTTTCGGATCATTCCAAAGAGCTTTTCAAAGCAATGTTTCCGGATTCTGCCATAGCAAAAAAATTTAGCTGCGGTCATACCAAAACTGCTGCTATTGTGAAAACGCAGAAAATACTGTTGCTGATATTATAAAATCAGTGTGCAGTACATCATTTTCTCTAAGTACTGATGGAAGTAATGATAACAATGATAACAAACTGTACCCATTGGTTATAACATACTACAGTAAAGAAAAGGGAGTGATAATTACTTCATTGATTTCTATTTTAGAATGCACGAATAATACAGGAGAAGGTATTTTTAATTGTATAAATGAAAACTTTAAAAACAAAGGTTTGAATGGAAAAATTGCTTATCATTTTTTCTTCAGATAATGCTAGTATATGATTGGAAAGTTTAAAGGTGTAGCATCATTTATCAAAATGCATCAACCAAGTATAATCACCCGAGGTTGTCCGTGCCACCTCTTGCATATAGCTGCAAAAAAAGCTACTGAAAATTTAATTGGCTCAGAAATTGAAATGTTGATAATAGATATATATTTTTACTTGGAGAAAAGTTCGAAACGGAAGCATAGCTTCAAAGTTGCTCTCAACAAATTTTGGGACAGAATGCAAAATCTCATAAAATTTGAAATATTGCAGTACGAGATGGTTGTCTCTCTTTTAGAATCTATAACAAGGATTTTGGAACAGTGGGATGCTGTGATAAATTTTTTTTTGGAGATAAACCAGATAACAGTGAGAATGAAGGAAAGAGATTGCAAAACATTAAAAAAATTTTTACAGTCACCGACCACCAAATTGTTACTTGTTTTTTGAAAAATACTTTGCCTTTGTTTTATAAATATTAATTTGCAACAACAAGCTCCTTATATACATAAATTGAGAAGAGAACTTTTTGAACTTTTAATGAATTTATTTGTTAGATTCGTAAAACCATCAGTAATTTCTAAAGAAAATGAAGATGTTACTCTAACGTCTATTCCATTTCAGAAGTATAGTAAACAAAAAGAAAATGAAAATTTAGTGATTGGTGCGGAAACAAGACTATATTTAAAAAATGCCAATTTGAATGAAAGTGAAGTGAAATCATTTTCCAATTCTGTGCGAGCTTTTTTTGTTACTGCATGTTCATATATAATTGATAATTTCCACTGAGTGATCCATTTCTAAAACATGCTGAAGTTGCTGACATCAACTTGAGAACTGAAGTCTCATTTTCATTCTCTGTTCTTTACTTGATGAATACTTTTCCATCCATTATTGATGAAAAATGTCTTAATCAAGTAGAAATTGAATTTTCCATGTATCAAGTAGATGATTTGAAAGAAATTGTAGATTTGCGTATTGATATAGCATGGGGAGAAATTGCCAAATTAAAAAATATGAATGGGTGTATTAAATACAAAGTATTGCCTTCTGTAATGCTTGCTGTCTTAATAATACCTCATTCAAATGCAGCTTGCGAAAGAATTTTTTTTCTATTGTTTAAAAAAATCAGACGGAATTTTGACCAAATTTAGGTCTTAAACTCTTGAAGCAGTTTTTGATTGAAAAAATAAATATGCAGGCAAATGAAAAGAACTGTGTTATAAAAAAACATTCTCAAAATCAGAACTTAAGCTTGCTAAGCATGCTACATATAAATCTTTGCATTCATAAATTATGCGTATTTTTGTTTAATACTTATATGTATCATTCTTGGTTATTTAAATTTTATTTCCCTGTAGAAATCATATCCAGAATAAAGATATGATTTATAGCTTCTGATTTTTTTCTATGATTAGTAGTGATTTGAAGTACTTTTTATTAGTGAATGCTTGAGGAGTTAAAAGAAAATTTCTAATTAAATGTGCATATAATTTTAGAAGGATATTTTTAATTATTCAGTTTTATATGTATATGGATTTTAAATGTAATAAAATTGATTACAATTAATTATTAATTTAAAATTAATGAATGGTTAATTACAACATACGCTACGCGCACATTTTCAAAGTTGTAAAAATGTCGTTCGCGCGTTGACTACTGACAAGGTTTGCTGAAGGTTGGAGTCTATGCAATGATTGTTGTTCCCATTAGATACAAAACCAGTTCTATGTTGATCACTGTAACTGTTGAGCTTAGCAAAGTATTTGGCCAGAAGAACGCTACTCCGGAGTCTGACGGGTTGAAGATTAGGCTTATACAGAACTATGTCTCTCGGGCAGCTATTAAGGAGACCAATAATGGCTCTGGCAGCAGAAAGCTGAATTCTTTCCAGTTTATTAAGCTTACTGGCAGATACAGCTTGATATACCTGAACACCATATTCCAAAATAGACCGAATAAGAGCAATGCATGTTTTTCTCAGAGTCCAAGCCCAGTCCCAGTCTCTACCAGGAAAAAAAATAATAATAATTACGTTAATCGATTCCTGTTTGTATAACAGCCCATGGATCACCGTTATTAACTGCCTCTGATGATGATGAATGAATTCATGAAGCTTCAAATCCTCCAACTAAACACACTTTATTTTAAAACATCACTATGTACATTGTGCAAAAAAAGGGAGGGCTACAGTTCTTATCTCCCATTCTACTTGTCCCATTGACGAAATTTAACTTGTATTTTTAATGTCACAAAAGCATGATGTAGAATATGTATTAGATTTATATATAACATTGTTCTATTCTAATATAGGTATTTTGACACAAAATCGGACTTTTTCTGAAATGACATGCCAATTTTTTTCCATATTTCGATTTTACGACTTAAATTATGCCAAACTTCCAAGCTTTATAAAAATTGCATTATTAGTTTTTAAAAATTAGCTCCTTGATGTAAATTGAATTTGATATATATTTATTAATATCTATTTTATATTTAACTTAAGATATATGTGAATTTACGTTTTGGCACATTTTCAGATTTCGATTTCAGATTTCAGTATTAGTAAGCACTTCAGATGATCAGAAAAAAATGTAGAGCTTATTTTAAAAAATCATATCACTCAATACAATAAATTGCTCGAAATAGTTCAAGGAAAATGCAGATATTAAGCAATCCCTCTTGAAGCACAAGAAATATCATTAATTCCCAAGATCAGTCACAGAGTAAACTTTAAATTGCTTTGAACTGCTTAATATCACATTTGATTAACAATTGACTGCATATCTGTCAAAACTGTATTTAAACTGCATAGCATGGACTTCTGCAAGTTTGGAAAATATGAAACGCACAGCTCCGAAAATTTGAATCTTTCAGCAAGCTGCCAACTTACCAACATAAATTGTAGTTAAGGCCTATTAGGAGTCTATTTTCGTATATCTCATAGTCTATTAAAGCCATTTTTATAATTTAAATGTTATTGGACTCAAAAATTGAAAAATCTACAATTCTTTTTAAGAAATAAACTCTTATATACAAAATATACGACTGCAAATTTGATTAAACACAAGACAAACCCTAAAACTGTTATTCTGAAATAAAAAAAAAAATAGCTAAATATCTTTTTTTTATGGTGTCATATATTTTATGTGTTGTTTTACTTGTACGTACATGAATTATTTATTATTTATTTACACCAAGTCTGGTTGACAAAAAAAAAAAAAAAAAAAAAAAAAAAGTTCATGGTTTTGATGCTGTTTTGTTACATTTTTAGTTCTTTTTTATATTTTTACTCTACCCTTTCCAGCCTGTAGTGGTTGGACTGATGAAGATACAAATTTCTATGATTAATTTTCTATTATTTATTGAAGTATTAAATTCTGGTTCATACTTTCTGTTATTATCACTTCAGAAACAGCCTGATTCACTTATTTCTTCTGTTGCACAAATCCACTCAAAACGATGTGGCAAAGGGTTAAATAACCTTTGCTTTCACTGTTTTTTTTTGGGGGGGGGCTTACACTTTTTTTTTTTTTTTTTTTTTTTACAATTTCAAGCAATAGTCACTGTGCTTCTCAATTTTAATGGCTTATTCTGAGTAGAATAAGAGATAGATTTAAACATTTTATTTTTACTTTATTACCCCCCCCCAGTTGTTTCTGCTATCAGAGTATAATTTGATAAGCTTTTGAACTCCCCCCCCCCAATTCATCATACATACACACATAGACTTAAAGCATCTAAAGTTAAAAGTAAGTTGGAGTCAAAGCAAGGCAATTCCTCAACAATATTGTAACTGTGCATAAGAGGTTTAACACAGTATCTAAAACAAATCAAAATTAAAATAAGAATTCACAGTAGTACAAACTCTAAAAAAGAAAAGCTCAGGACATGTTTAGCCTCTTATTATGTTTCTTTATGTATTTATGTATTTACATATATATATATAAGAGAAGCTATTTTAACTTTCAGATATGTTCATTATGGGAAAGGACAGAGGATATAATTATATGTGTTCAAAGGAATTATACATTTAGAAACTTAGCTATAATTTTGAAATTATGACACACATTACTTAAATATAAAAGTATTACAAATGATTAAAAAGTCTGTATTATGTTGTTTCTCTATTAAATAGTTTTAATTCTAATTATAACCGACAAGTGTATGCTCTAAGACTGAAATTTACTAATGGTTAAATACTTTTATACAGACAAGCAACTTTTTTAAGTCTTTGTTTGAGAAAGTAATTGAAAAATCTATTCATACATTATATGAATTACTTTTTTCTTTTAAATGGTTATCCAGTGAAATTATGAAATCTCTTTTTTCCCCCTGTAACAAAGACATTTAAAAACTGAATTTAAATCTTTGAAACATATCTGACAATGCTTCTAACAAACTTTAACACATTTGAGAAATGATGAAAATTGGAAAATATGTAAATTGTTTCATTAGTAATTTAGTTACAAAAAGCCAGTATTGTTATACAAAATATTATGTGAAAGTGATTTAAAATGATTTCATCTTTAGTTATACACTTGGTTTCAAGATGATGATTATGTATACCTGGTAATGGAGCTTTGCGAGGGAGGCTCACTGAAAGATATCATGAAAAGAAAAGGACCATTCTCAGAAGATAATGGTAAAATTTAAAATATTTTATTTTTAAAAGAAAGTTGAAATAATTATTTTATTTTATTTTCTCATATTTTTGTTTTAGCTCGAAATATTATTGAACAAGTGATAGATGGAGTACGATATTTAAACCACAAATTCATTATTCATCGAGATCTATCAGACAAGAATGTCCTTCTCACAGATACAGATAATGTTGTAAGATTTAACTATTTTTTTACATTTTGTGTTTATTTTAAATTTGAGTATTTATTTTCTGTATTTTTTATACATACGTATTTTAAATTCTGTTAGTAAAATGCAGGCTGATTCAAAAATGTCTGGCAGAGATATAAAAGCTCATGCAGGAGACTGAAATAAGCAGATTTTGAATAAAATGTGAGTGCCAGAATAACACGTTCAGGTGATATAGGGTGCTGCTGAGCTTTAGGTAAAAGTACGTGAGCCAGCATAAATTGTCATTCCTTGAGTTGATTTTAACCTACATAGAAGAGGTATAGAGAATAAATCCTATGTGCCTCCTTTGAGTAGCTGCTCCATTTCCATCTGCAGCCCCATTAATGCAGAGGATGTTTATGCATTTTTAGAATGATTTTTTTAAAGAATTTTAAAAAGCAAATCCTTTGGAACAAAAATATCTGGCAAAAGCTTAGTATTTGAATTGAAAAATAGCATCTGCTACTTTTATTCGTTTTTCAAAATGTCAACTGTAAACAAGCTGTGGATTGAAGAACATGTTTTTGTGCTTTCTGAAAAGAAATATGCCTATTCCATGGTATTTAAATTTCTAATTGCAAAATAAGCAACAATATTGATTGGAAAGGGAAAGACTGTCATTCATTACCTCTACATGTAAAGAAGATTCTAGTTGAATACTTGAAAGACGTATGTACAATTTCTAATATTTCTAAAGTTAAATCCTTGGTAACAACAGAAAATCTGCCGACACGGATATCAATTGCAAAGGCTTTAAATACATCTGTAGCAACAATAAATAAAATAGTAAACCAAGGTTTACAATTAAAAAAGCAAAACGACATAATGTTCACCAGTTTTTATTGAGATCCATGGCTCAATGCAGAACAATTTGTAGCACCCAGTATGAAAATGATTTAACAGAAGATAAATGGAAATGAACTGTTACCCTTGATGAAGCAAAAGTGTATCTAAAGAACTAGAACAAAACAAAACAAACAAAACAAAAAAAAAAATATTTATTATCAAAGTTGAAGAGGGAAAAGTATACAGACCTGGCTTCAGCGATGCAAGTTTCAGTAAAGGGTTAATGATTCTTGCGGCATTCTCTTGACATTGGGAAATTATAAGTAAGAAGAGTAAAGAAAATGTTAAAATCAACTCAGCATGCTATCAAGAGAAAGTTTTACATCTGATGTTTACAGTAGAAACTCCATTTTTTAATCCCAGTGATTTTCCAAGACAAAGCAATATGTCATACTTTTAAAACCATTACTCCAATTCTTGAAAAAATGAAGACTGATACAGTTATTGCATATATACATTTTCAATGTATTCCCGCAAAGTCCGCTGATGTTTCACCTGAATTGTTTTGCATTTGGTCTCTTGAAAAGAGCTCTTTCTAACCCACTATGATTGATGAACTCTGGAAAGTAGTAAAAAAGTATTGGAAATTTTAGGAAAAAGCCCTTATATCATGGAAATCACAATCCAAACCTTTAGTCCCAAAAAAATCTGATTTTTCATGTAAAAATGTGTTCTTTGAATTTTAAACATTAAATAAACAGCCCCAAAATCATTTTAAAAGTATATAAACATAAATGCATGTAAATGCATGTCAGCAAGCTCCACATTCATGTATATTAAAATTCCAAATAAGGAATGATGAATAGAATACTTTTACTTGCCAATGCAGCATTTCCACTCAAACATACCGTTATAAAATCTGCTTATTCTGATTAACCTCTACCTGCCTGTGTATTTTTGTTAGATATTTTAGAATCACCCTATATATGTGTAACTTTATATATTTATTTTGTGCATATATATATATATATATATATATATGGGTACAAAATTCAATTCATAAAAGTTATCTTTAGAAAATTTGTGTTGCTAAGTGTGGAATAATATACACTTAAATATATTGTTTCGTTTTTCCTTTTCTTCTGACACCAGTTGTTACGTTATTTTCTTCTTTCACGTTCGTGCGAATTTGGAGTGAATAACGACGACACTTGATGAAGTATCGAAACACACTTTATTTAGCCAGTACTAATCAGGACAGCTCCAAAATCCCGTTACAGTCATGGAAGAACTACTATAAACATGCTGACACAATCAGCGACACAGCTTTCACACTGTCAGGCGATAGCGGTGGAGACAGCTTCACTGCAAAGCACCCGAGTACAGCTCCCAACTCTGCTTGGTTGTTCTCGGAACTCCACGTACTCTCGAGACTCTCCACGCGATGCACTCGACGATACACAAGAGTATAGCTCTCGACTCTGCACAGTCTAAGACAAAACTCGACGATGCACTAATTCGCGATGCACTAAAAGACTCTCTTGATGCACTCGATGACCACCTCGGTGCTAGACTTTGAGACAGTCGTTTGATGACTGACTATCAGCTCACTAGACAAGGCACACACACTAACTGACTGCGGACCAGCAGGGTTTACACTGGTGTGCAAAAATTAAGGACGAGACGATTTTTTCAATATAACTTTGTACAAAAGCTTTCCAAATCAACACATTTAATACCGTAAGATCCCAATACGTAAGGACATGAGTAATGTAAGCAAAACACTTACTAAAGAGGAATCAGAGGGATAAAACAAAGCTTTATTGAAAAAGTAGCTGGAGCGCAATGCGACTGAAGGCCGAAAACATCCCTGTGATGGGTGTCCAGCAAGAAACATCCGGTCTTTAATAGGGGATATGATCTCCCCTGACTGCTAGGCAGGTTTCACAGCGTTTGCCCATGCTGAGAATGAGGGTGTCAATGAGTTGTTGAGGCATTGCTGCCCATTCGTCTTGCAGCGCTAATCAAAGCTCCAGAATCTTTATTGGTGGTAAGGTACGAGCTGCCAAGCATCTGCCTAGAAATTTCCCATACATGCTCGATGGGATTGAGATCCGGAGATCGTGCCGACCAATCCATACATTCAATATCCTCACTCTCTAAGAGCTGTTCGGCAGCTACTGTGCGATGACATGGTGCATTGTCGTCCATGAAAAGGAACTGCGGACCCATAGCGCCTCTAAAAAGACGCACATATGGAAGAAGAATCTCGTTACAATAACGGGTCCCGTTGACTGAACTTGCATCGAAGATGTGAAGGTCTGTACGACTACCAAGCATGATGCCTCCCAAGCATGATATGCATGATGCCTCCTGCATATCAAGTTCACCAAGTAAATTATTCTTGCTGCAAATTGGAATAATGCGGGAATTTAAATTATTGAATTTCTCTGTAAATTTCACACAAAATTTAATATTTAGGCATAATTTGGATCATAGAATTTAAATATGGAAAAGAATCGATATGCTGTTTCAGAAAAAGTCAGATTCTGTGTCCTAATATCCATGTTAGAGCAGTATTATATATAAATCTAATATATATCCCTAAGTAGTGCTTTCGAGACATGAAAAACGCAATTTGAATTTTGTCAGTCGGCCCCAGTAGAACGGGAGATATAGAACTGTCCTCTCCTTTTTTTGTTAAACACAATAGTAGTTTAAATTATATCATGATTGTGTTTAAATTGACTGAGCTATTATGTGCATATTTCTTTGGTATATTTGGCCCATGCAGCACAGAAGCTCTGAGAGGTTAAGCATCTGTTTGACAATATCTCACTATGGAGAAAGGGGTAACAATTTGGGGTTGACCCATTTCTTCTTCAGTATAATTGTACTCCTGTCAATAAGGTACATTTGTTACCAGACATATTGAAAAACTGAATTGCATGAAACAGTAATAGTTTGTTGATATGGCTATTGAAAAACTGAATTGGCCTGTTTCAACCATTCCGAGTACCTGCAGAATGAACTGAAATATTGGCTATAATTCAAGCCCCACTACCACCATCAGTAACAAGCCTACATGAATTCATGACATTAAACTGCAGCTGCAGCATTCCAAAAATTAGTCAATAGCTTTCTTGAAATAGTGGCAGCTATCATCACAGCAAAAGGTAGATCCACACCTAATTAATTTTGTCCATATTAATTAGAAAACCAATTTGTTAAGATATTTGATTACTTTTGATGCAGAACATATTATAATATATTTAATGTTTATCTTATTAAACCTGTACTAATAAAAGTTTCAAATTTTATATGTATTTTAGATATACTTAATTGTTACTATTTTGTATTATTTTTTGGTATTAATAAAGTATGAATTTCAATAGAAAATTATAGATTTTGGTATGGCTGCACAGTTAAAAAATCCAAATGAAAAGAAACATACTATGTGTGGAACAGCAAATTTCATGGCTCCGTAAGTATTCAGTGTGCGTTAGTTTCATTGTCAGTAGTTATTAAAAATATTTTTTTCAAATTAAAAAATTTATTTAAAAAATATTTGCTTTTTTATAATCAGTCTTCACTGAAAATTGCTCTAAGGAATTTATCAGAAACAACTGTGAAGGAACTTTTATAATTTTGTTTACTGTAATAATGAAATATATAATTTAAATATATTACTTAAATTAGAAAATATTTTAAGTATACTTTTTAATATCTAATGCCAATAGAAAAATAAAAAAGCCGATTAATAGAATTCAAAAGTGAGAAATACGATCATACTTCTTTTCAGTAAGTTTACAATTCATGAATAGCAATCATTTTATAATTTTTGCTATGCTTCTATTTAAATAAATGCCAATACTTTTTATCGGTGCCAATTTAGAGTTTCCTATCCTAACTTAGTATATTTAATAGATAAGAAAACTTTGGTAAATCTTTCCTCCCTTGATAAAAATAATCATGTCTTTTACCCAAAAAACAGTAGATAAAAGTAAAATACTAAACTAATGGTTTCATAGAAATATATTAAAAATAAATGGAATTATATTACCTACAACACCTTCTTTATGTCACAGGAAAGGAACACAAATCCATATTTTTGCTTTTCAACATAATGAAGAATTGTCTACATTTAAACACTAAATATAAATACACTTTCATTAACCAACATTTAATGTAACTATTTAGTTGATTTTTAAAGTGATCTTTTGTAATGGCACGTTAATAAAAAAAAAGTGATGTGCACAAATTTTACTTGGAAATTTTGTACATAGGATCTAAGATCATAAGCAAGTTGATAAAAATGATGCAGTTGTTGCTTTCAAACTCATTAATTGTTAAAAATATATTGCTTTTAATCTTTCAGAGATTTCTTTTGATGTAAGACAAAGATTAGTAAAATTACTGTCAGTATTAAGCCTGAATAAAAAGCTTCAGTTTTTAAACCAGTATGTCTGTTTCCCATGTACTTCTAGAAACTTATTATTGCCATAAAAAATTTAAACTATTTAATAATGATATGAAAGAGTAAGCTTTGTGTAAATTTTCTTTAAATATCCTATATATGTTCTTTACATAAAGCATATCAAAAAAGTTCATGATATGAAAATTTCTAAATTGATTCTTATGCCTTTTTAAAATTCATAGTGTATGGTTAACAAAATACTTCCAAGATACGGATGCTGCTATCAATAAATATATAAGTAAATAATGCATTATACTGGATTTACAGCTTTTGTATTCCGTTGATGTGAATTTTTAAAGAAGCTGTTCTACTTTCATTACTTCTGCATAAAATCTATTTTTAGCAAACTATGCCTCTCCTTCCCCTCAAACAGAGTTTGGAAATCTATCACCAAATATATACATGCCATGGAGATAAAAATATGAAGATCAAAAGTTTCTTCCTTATGAATTTCATAATCTGATTATTTAACAGTATATTACAGGAAAGCATAATGGAATAGAAAGAGGATTTTTTTTAATGAAAAAAAAACTTCCATCGCATAAATGATGTATCGCTAAAAAAAAATTCTTTTTTTTTTTCTTTTTTTTCTTCAAAATTCCATGAAGAAAGGTTTGTGAAATAAATTTAAAAGAAAAAAATTTTTTTTAATATATCTTGATTATTAGTTTAATGCAAGCAGTCATTAACATGCAAGTATTGCAGTATTGAATTTATCAAAATTTAAAGAGCAATAATATTACAAACACCTCATTATTTCAATCTTGTCATTACTAATACTGATGTTGTTTTATCTTACAAAATATGTGTAAATTTCTTAATTATTACAATTTTGGAAATTTGTTATGATTTTTAATGAAAAGAATGAATGTTTTGTAAACTTTTTATATTTATATTTTCAAACTTACCAAACAGTGCCCTTTCCACTTGATAATATACAGAGAACTTTCTCAAAGAGATTTATATTAAAGAAACCAAAGAAATTAAAAGCGTTGCCACCTGTTTAACTAGAAATTAAACATGATATGATGCTAATTTTCAGCTGTTTACTAAACTAATTCTGGCCCATTTGACATTAACTTGATTAAAGACAATCTAAAAGGTTCAGACCTATTTCCTTCAAATTATTGACAGTTTAATTGCAAAATTTACAGAATACTTTTTCTTTTATACAAAAAATTAACTGTAACATTGGAAGCGTTTTTCTTTGGCATAAGTATTAAACTGTCAGAAAATGTAATTGCATTTGAAAGAAACAGAAAGTGCATGATTACCATGTTAGCAGAATTTTTTTGGTTTAAATATATCATTAAAAAAGTTTAAAAGCTTCTCAGAACTTTGTGAGATATATTAAAATAAGTTCCTGTAAATAAAAAACAACAAAATTATTTTTTTTAACTACTAAAAAATACATTTTTATTTTGCATTTTTATTTAATGCTAACTAAGAAAAAAAATTTTTTTGGTTTGGAGGACCCATAAGCACTTATTATATACTGAGGTATGTAATGTGTAATATTAAAAACAACTTTTAATAAAAGTTACCATGACTAACTAATAGCCGGTTCTTTCTTATTTTGTAATTTTTGTTTTTCCTGTTATGTGTCACTAAGCTTGCGATTACTCAATATTTTGGCAATTTTAAAAGCTGTTTAGGTTTGAAAATTTTGATTTAGTAATTTTAAGTTTCATGCCATTAACACATTATTGTGATATTAATAAAGTATGATAATGTGTTAAAATTACAGCATTTAAAAAATACATGGAAATAAAATTTATTCAAGTCGTTGTCTTGTCTAAAAGTATCTTTAATTTCTATCCTTGACAATTTTTAAAAATCTTGACTACTAAATTCAAACAATGTAATAAAATCTGAGAGACTTGTTCTTCTGTGAATACTGTAAACACTTTAAACAGGTCAAATAAATTTTATCTGTGGCAAATGGTTTCTTCCCACCCCCAATTTGTATTCAAAACAGTTAGATTTGCATCAGCTTTCTTTGTAAAATTAACTTGATTTTCTGTTTGTTCGTTTGTTTTGTTTTAATGTTCTCCAAGTTTTACAAAGTTACTGGCATTATATTAGGTTAAATAACAGATGTATTCATTTATACATCCATGATCTGAGTATTTATTTTAAATTTTTAATTTGGTATAAAGAACAATAAAAATTACATTAAAAAAAATATTAGATTGAATTTGTGGTATACACTCATGCATCCACATTGTAAAATATAATTGGAGTATAATATTTTAAGATTTTTTGTAAAAGTTTTATGATTGTTTTTCGTGATTTGCATTTCTTGAAATTTTAGTTCAACTTTTTGTATAGCTTTAAAAATAGTAATTTGAGTATTATGATTTTGATTTCGTTAATTTTGGAAGAACTGTTATGAGTATTTTCTTTTTATATTATCATATTACTTTTAAACTCATACTTAATACCAAAGTTTAAAACCTTAATAAAATTTTAGGGAAGTTGTGGCTGGAAATTCCTATGGATTTAAAACTGACTATTGGGGTATTGGATGTTTGTTATATACAATACTAGTTGGTAAACCCCCATTTGATGGCAAAGGACATGAGGAAATCTTCACAAATGTCTCAAATTCAGACATACATTTTCCTGAGAGTATCAGTAATGAGGCTCAGGAACTAATTTTAAAATTGCTGGAGAAGAACAGTAATAGCAGAGCAGATTTAAAGGGTAATGTTTATAATGTTTGATCTATTTATATAAATATTGATATTTTTGTTATGAGTGAACATGAACACAGATATAAATTTACATCTGAACTATCAATACCTTTTAGTTCATGTTTAGTTATCAATACCTTTTAGTTTTAGTACCTAAAAGTTCATGATACTAATTTTTATTTAGATGCATTTAATATTATCATCATTATTTTATACTTCCTCTGTCCCATAATAATAGTAGCAGTTGAGGAATTTAATTTTTCCCATGATAATAGTATCAAAAGAAAATAAGTACAGAATGCAACATTTTTTTTTTTTTTTTTTTGTTAAAAAAATACTAGATTAAATTAAAAATATTACTCCTTATTTTTATTTTGAGTGTTCTGATAGTCTCTGGATTTTTCAACAATTTTATTACTGCATTTTAAACTTATACGTAGGATTGCTTAGCTATGAAGTTTTGCTTTCTCTATATGTGTGAGCATAAAATTATTGGTGGCATTGCTTCCAGCGTAACTTGTTGAAGTGACAGATACATATTATCCAGTATTTTGGAAGAAATATTAACAAAGCCAATGTTTACTGCTTCTATGATGCCTCTTCTGCTAAGAGGAATATATCTAAGTTTTTCAACTTTTCCTCTATAATCTTTGCATTTATGACCACAGTTTTGTTTTTTCAAAGAATCAACATTAGCATAAAATTCACTTTGACAATTATTTTCGGAAGCACATTTCCTAATTCTTGGTATGGTCATTCTGTTGCACTTAAATTGTTTTGAAGCAAATATTATTTACACCTTTTCTTTTTTTTTTTTTTTTTTTTTTTTTTTTATGCATCACAACTCGATCTTTGCTTTGATCTTTTTTCATCTTACTTTTACAATGGGTTGATATTCAACAAAAATAAAACAATTTATTTTGATTAGCAAATGAAATAAAAAATTAGTTATAATTAATAATAATTAGTTAACCTGAAAATTGAAAGATGTGTCAAAACAAATTGCAGATGTCATGAAACACTGATTTTCATTGAAGGCTTCATAATTTTGCACTAGAACATAACTTACAGCTGCATTCACCAACAATTTCTGTTTAAATATTTACTTGCTACTTACTATTATTATGGGATAGATGGAATATGAATTAATTAGAAGTTTCACTAATATGGGGAGTTAGTCTTGTACTTATATATGTTATACATATGTGCAAAAAATATTTGTAATTATATCTTTATGTTACTTTTTTTAAGTATATAGATGAATTTATTCTAATATTTATGTGTTTTAATAATTATTTAATGTTTAACAGTTCCTGATTTAAATTTGTCCAAAAAATTATATTTTAAACCAAATGTTCATTTTTAGCTGCCCTTGATCATCCATTTTTTAGAAAATCAAAGAGTAGGCTTATGAATGCACATACTAAGGTAAGTTTCGTTTTTAGTTTTAACATAGGAAAATTTTAAAGTATTTGCATGTATTGAGTTTCATGTAGGCTGCTGTCATATCATTTTGTAGTTTTCATATAATATGGATTGCTGCTCTATGATAAAAAAGCTTTAGCAACTATTGCTCTGAGCATGAAATCATTTGAACTAGTGCACATTAAAAATGTAAAACTTCGTATGAAGCGTGGTTGGAACTACATGAAATTGATTAGCCAAAACCCCCTGTAACTAAAGTAAGCTTCATGAAGCAACATATCTGTAAAAAAATGAATACCATTGAAACAATGTAGGAGGACTTTTTTTTTTTTTTAATTGTAGATAAAATTGAATAAAAATTCCAGAGAAGTTTCTAACTATTATTCTACTATATAGCTTAACCAAAAATTTTGGAATCAAGATAGAATCTCATGATAAACTGATTACTGGTTACTCATGATAACAGGTTTAAACACACTAAAAGTTAATTTACTAAAAGAATCTAATAGTCATTAGTGTAAAGTGCAGGAAAACAGCCAAGTGTAGAATGTATTAATAAATGCTACAGCAACACAAGAATAAAGTCTAACATTGCGAAAGACTTCAGATACTATAATCGCAAGCGAAAAGGCATAAAATATATTAAAATGTAATAAAAATTAAAACCAAAAATACTAATCAAGCATTCATTAAACAAAGTTGTTCTCTCAGCACTGGCAGTAAGTACAATGTAAAAATTAGGAACACATAACTTGTATTTTGGTCAGGAGCAACTGCACATATGTGCAATAACAGAAGTAAATTCGCATCCATAACTGAAACCCAAAGTGAAATTCAGTTAGCAAATAAAAAATGTCTAGAAGTTAAAGCGAAATGGAAAGTTGAAATTTATCCAAGTGTCAGTTCAGCTTCACAACACATAATATATAATGATGTATTATAAACTTAATTTCAATGAATTTAGTGTTGCAGAGTAAATGTACTGTTAACTTTAGCAATAACTGTGTGTGGGATAAAACATAAAAATGCATGCAATTTTTACAAGCAACAAAACAAAATAGTCTATATGTTGTAAAACAATGGAACATAACAGAAGTTTCAAATGTAGTTTAATGCAAATATCCTTAACAGTAAACTGAAATTTTGGCATGAAAGGTGTGGTTACATAAACCTAAAATAAAGGTGTGCAGTCTAAAGATTCCAAAGAGTAAAACTGAAACCTTATTTTGTGAAACTAGGAAAAAAGGTAACAGGTTAGTTACTATTCTCCAAAGAAGCATGTGCAGTAAAGCATGATATTCTTGAGCTCCTAGTCACTGGGTCCCATGAAAATCATCTTTAGGTGGGGCAAAATACTTCATAACCTTCATTGATGACAAATCATGGAAAATTAGTGTGTATGCCATACAGAAAAGATCCTTTGAAGCATTTGAAGCAAGTACAAATTTCAGGTTGGGGGGGGAGGAGAAACAACTGAAAGCTGTTCTCAGCAATAATGCCAAATAATTCAAAAGCCATGAATTCTATCAATTCCCAAGAAAGGAAGGCATTAAATGCCAGTTTTAAGTCAAAATAAAATTGCAAGTTTTAGCCAGTTTCTGTTCATTTGTCTTGTCAGATGTCTGCTCTTCAAGTCAAAATTATCCCAATAATAATGGGCTGAAATAATATCAACGGCAACATATATTTGTAACTCCTACAAAAAGCTGATCAAAATGCCTGAAAAAAATTTGTTCTGAAAGAAAGCCTACAGTAGTGCATTTAAGAATCATAGGAAGCTTTTGCATTAACCAATTTGAACAGGAAAAGAAATTTTTCTCCAAAAGTGAAGAATGTATTTTTATCGGATATTCTGAGTAAGCTAAATCATATCATTAATGGAAACTTGGAATCTTTGGAAATAAAACAAAGTCATGACGTTCGATTTTTGGAACTGCTGAAAACTGAAGCAAGATCAGAACTTCAGCAGTTGACAAAGAGAAATTCATTAAATTTGTCCCTGCTCAAGGAAATTTGGGAGATCAATAAGAATTCCATAGTGCCAGGTGAAGGGAGAGCAGATGCTGAAGAAAGTGTAATTCAGGGTCAAAATTCTGAAATAGGACAAGGAAGATGTACATTTCTGAAAACTAGACATACTAAGAAAAGTTTATTGGCAAAAATGAACTAATTTGGGAAATTCTGAAGTTCTCTGCAAATCCAGAAACTGTAGAAGCTTTATCTAGACAAATGCAGATAAATGAAGAGCAGCTATGCAAGAAGAATGTAATTCTTTAATGTGAAACATTATGTGAGAATTAACCAACTTGCCAGACAATAGAAAAGCCACTGGTTGCAAATGAGTGTTCTAAATAGAGGCAGGTGGCACAGTTGATGGGGACAAGGTGAGACAAGCCAAAGAATACTTGCAAAAGTTTGGAACTGACTACACAGCAACTTTTTTATCTGTAGTTCACTATAATTTTGTATGAGCAATACTTATTTTAGCTGCCAAGGTGGTGTATTGAGAATACGGCAAAACACACTAGGGCTATCTGCCTATTTAGCTGCCAAGTATGATCTAAAAATACATCGAACGGATGTTCAAACAGCTTATTTAAATAGGAAAATTGAAGAAAAAATATTTATGTCCCAACCAGAAGGTTTCGTATCTTTTGAAGGCAAAATCTGTAGACTCAAAATGTTGATATACAGATTTAAACAAGCAGAATGGATGTGGAAAATAAAATAAGATGAAAGTTTATGGAAATTCAGATTCGAAAAATTAACATAACTCTGTTTATGTATGGAAAGTAACAGACTGAATGTATCATAATAGCTATGTATGTTAGTGATTTGATAATTCTAACAAAAAGTGAATCTTCTTTGATACACATCAAGAGTAACAGTAAAACTTTTAAATACACCGTAAAATTTTTGAAATGAGAGACTTGGGTAAAATAAAACAGTGTTTAAGCATTAACATTGAACAAAATAAAAATTTATTAGTTAGCCAAATTCAGTACATAAAGAACTCTTGACTATGTAAGCTATGCAATGATGTAAGCCAACTCCGTTAGACCCTAACTAGTGGCCATTGACAAACCATACCCTTTGATGTGAATACTTAGCTGCAGCAGACTGGTAAAAATGTTTTTCTAGTATGTGAAACCATAACTACTAAAGAACCTGCATTTTCTATAAATACTTTTTTTAATAAAGAGTGCCCCCCCTTGCCACAGAACATAACTTAGTTGAGTTCTATTCAACGAAAGTAGACTTAAGTAAAATAAAACAGTGTTTAAAGGCCTTGTAGAAATCTTGTTTGTATTTTTTCATTTTTATATCCAAAGGCTCTTGTTTCTTTATTTTCATTTGCTTTGCCTTAGCCTTTTCAAAATTATCCAAAAATATTTCTCAAAATCTAATTCATCGCTGGAAAAGGATGATAGAGACTCAAATGCTATGTCTGCAGTCTGACTGTTCCTGATTCGAATTCTCTAATTGTTCTGAGAATAATTTCATTCTTAATGAAAGTTCATAGATGACTTTCTTTGCTTTTTCAACTTGTTCGTCATCCAAGAAAATTCGATGTTTCGGATCTTCATATATTGAACCCAGCAAGATCTCATTGTCTAGCAAACTAGTTTCTCTTTTCTTCATTGAAAAAATGATTCCTTCTGCAATAAACCCTTTATTTCAGAAAGAACAAACATCCCATTCTTCCATTCTTGCCTCCTGTCAATTCTTCAGATTGCAGTTTTTTTGTGATTATATGCGGTGTAGAAAAAAGAGTTTCTGATTCTGCAAGATCATTCCGCAGTCTTTGTTAGTGAAACATTAGGGTTATCTACATCTCCTAAAAAAGTTCTTAATTCTAAAAACCTCTTTATCATCAAATATGTACTTCCTTATCGCGTTGCTTGATCAATAATTGCTCCTTTTCCTGCTCGCTTCCTAAGAATGGCATCAGTTTTAGTTCTTGCTGCTATTGCTGCTTACCTAAATTTACCAGTGAGATTTGTAACTAAATGAATCAGTTTAATCACTAATGGCAAATATCACATCCATCCTCCTCCTTTATATTTATTTATTAATACAGTGGTGGCCAAAATTGTGGACACTTTTGGAAATTTGTATGTTTTTGAGCTTTGTATGCTTATAGAAATGTTACGTTTCGCAAAATGCAAACTTGTATATATCATTTTAAAGAGCATTTATTACTGAATTCAATACAAAACACAAAATTCAGTTATTTGCAATACAAAAAAATGTATATGTACTTTAATATAAATAAAAAACACAGTTATGAAGTGGTTTGTAATGTCTAGCTTTCCTGGCCAATCACTGTTCTTGTTCTGAGAACCAGTCGAATGTTAGTAACTGCCAGTAGAAGCTGACATCATGTTTACACTTAAAATAATTCATTATTTTGCTTTGTTCTGTAGAAGGAAGACCTGCTTCTTATACACTGCAATTACAAGTAGGACTTTTTGTAAAAATTTTTAATATTTAGTCAAGAAGCAATGACATCAAATAAAACAGTAAATTGGACACCTAGAAAGAGATGTAATATTATTGTGTTACGAGAAAGTGCTCTTTCCTATGCTGAAATTGCAAGACAGGTGGGTGGTTCAGTGACTACATCTGGAGTCCGAAAGTTTTGTTTACGATATCAGGAGACAAATTAAAAAAAAAAACAAAGAAGGAAAAGGCCGAAAAAGGTGCACCACATCAATTGATGACAGAAGAATAAAAAGACTATGTCTCCAAGGTAGAAAAATGTTATCAGCGGCCATCAGAAGTGATCTGAATGATGCTGGTGTTTCTGTCAATTCAAGAACAGTCAGGAGAAGATTAACAGATGTTGGACTGAGAGGTAGAATTCCACGAAAAAATTATCTTAATTTTCAGCAACAACAACAACAACAACAACAAAAAGACTACAGTGGGCAAAGGAACACATTAATTGGACAGATGATCAGTGGTCACAAGTTATATGGATTGAGATGAAACTAAGATAT